AAAAACATCGATTCTTGGTGGCAGTGTGCTCGGTTGGAATGCAGGTTATCAAGGTGGGTGTGACTGAACTGCTACATGATCCTGGCGCCTTTCGGCGCGATGATGGTTTCCTGTATAATGACCTCCACGAGCGAATATACCTCTCAGAAGTGGTGTTCCACATCAACGTGCGCGCGCGCACGCGAGCGTCGTATTTGGGGCCTTCGGTGGAGCTCCTTCATCGGAAAACGTAACGCTGTACTGGGCGGGGCGGGCGCGTGCGAACGTCGCAATTGGGGCCTTCGGTGGAGCTCACATATTGGTCCGCGGAACGCTGTACTTGGTGGGGCGGACGCATGCGAACGTCGCAACTGGAGCCTCCGGTGGAGCCCCCTATGGGCCCACGAAGCGCTGTATTGGGTGGAGCGGACGCATGCGAACGTCACCACTGGGAACGGCGGACGCACGCGAACGTCGCCACTGGAGCCTCCTGTGGAACTCCTTATTGGCCCACGAAACGTTGTACTGACTTGGGCGGACGCATGCGAACGTCGCCACTGGGCGGGGCGGACGCATGCGAACGTCGCCACTGGGGCCTTCGGTGGAATTCCATCTGAACCCACGAAACGCTGCACTGGGTGGGGCGGATGCACACGAACGTCTCCATTGTGGCCTTCGGTTGAGTTCCCCGATGGGGCAGCGAAGCGCTGTATTGTGTGTGGGGCAGACGCATGCGAACGTCGCCAGTTGGGCCATCGGTGGAGCTCCTTGAAAGGCAAACGAAGCGCGATACTGGGTGGGGCGGACGCATGCGAACGTCGCCACTCTGGCCTTCGGTGGAGCTGTCCATGGGGCCACGAAGCGCTGTACTGGGTGGGGCGGACGCACACTAACGTCGCAACTCTGGCCTTCGGTGGAGCTCCTTGTATCGGAAAACGAAGCGCTGTGTTGGGTGGGACGGACGCATGCGAAAGTCGCAACTGGAGCCTTCGGTGGAACTCCCATACTGGCCCAAGCAACGCTGTACTGGGGCGGACGCATGCGAACGTCGCAACTGGAGCCTTCGGTGGAACTCCCATACTGGCCCAAGCAACGCTAAACTGGGGCGGACGCATGCGAACGTCGCCATTGTGGCCTTCGGCGGAGCTCCTTGACCGGCAAACGAAGCACTGTACTGGGCTGGGCGGACGCACGTGAACGTCGTAACTGGGGACTTCCGTGGAGCTCCTTTTTATCGGCAAACGAAGCAGTGTACTGGGTGGGGCGGACGCATGCGACAGTCGCCACTGGGGCCCTTCGGTGGAGCTCCTTGTATCGGCAAACGAAGCGCTGTACTGGGTGGGGCAGACGCATGCAAGCGTCGCCACTGTGGCCTTTGGTGGAGCTGTCCATGGAGCCACGAAGCGCTGTTCTTGGTGGGGACGGACGCATGCGAACGTCGCCACTGGGGCCGTCGGTGGAGCCCCCATGTTGGTCCACGAAGCGCTGTACTGACTCGGGCGGACGCATGCGAACGTCGCAACTTCGCAACTGTGGCCTCCATCCTCCATGGGGCCACGAAGCGCTGTACTGGGTGGGGCGGACGCACGCGAACGTCGCAGCTCTGGCCTTCGGTGGAGCTCCTTGTATCGGAAAACGAAGCGCTGTGTTGGGCGGGGCGGACGCATGCGATCGTCGCACCTGGGGCCTCCGGTGGAACCCCATATTGGCCCACGAAGCGCTGGTGAAGCGGACGCGCGCGAACGTCGAAACTGGAGCCTCCGGTGGAAGCCATTGGTGGCACACGAAACGCTGTAATGGGCGTGGCGGACGCATGCGAACGTCGCCACTGGGCGGGGCGGACGCATGCGAACGTCGCCACTGGGGCCTTCGGTGGCATGCCATCTGAGCCCACGAAACGCTGCACTGGGTGGGGCGGATGCACGCGAACGTCTCCATTTTGGCCTTCGGTTGAGTTCCCCGATGGGGCCGCGAAGCGCTGTATTGTGTGGGGCAGACGCATGCGAACGTCGCCAGTTGGGGCCTTCGGTGGAGCTCCTTTTATCGGAAATCGAAGCGCTGTGTTGGGTAGGGCGGACGCATGCGAACGTCGCCACTCTGGCCTTCGGTGGAGCTGTCCATGGGGCCACGAAGCGCTGTGCTGGGCGGGGCGTGCGCACGCGAACGTTGTAAGAGGGGCCTTCGGTGGAGCTTCTTTTCATCGGCAAACGAAACGCTGTACTGGGTGGGACGGACGCATGCGAACGTCGCTATGTAGGCCTTCGGTGGAGCTCCCATATTGGCCCAAGAATCGCTGTACTGGGTGGGGCGGACGCATGCGAACAGCGCCGCTGGGGCCTTCGGTGGGGCCCCCGTAGAAGGCCTCGAAACGTTGCAATGGGTGGGGCGGGCCCGTGAGAACGTCGCCACTGTGGCCGTCGGTGGAGCTGTCGATGGGCCCACGGAGCGCCGTACTAGGCGGGGCGGACGCACGCAAACGTCGCCAATGTGACATACGGTGGAGCTGAGCTGTCCATGGGGCCATGAAGCGCGATACTGGGTGGGGCGGACGCATGCGAACGTCGCCACTGGCGCCTTCGGTGGAGCTCCCCATGGAGCCACGAAGCGTTGAGGGGTCTGCCGAACTGGGCGGCATGCGGAAAGCAATAGCACGCAGGGGAGGAGGGAGGGGGGGGGAGACGAGGTGGAGCGTGCCCAAATGGGTGGGGAGCGGAGGAGAAGGAAGAGGACGCGGGACGCTGCAGCAACGAGGACCCAGAACCACAGGACGGTTGGGAATTAGCTTGACGACCCAACCATATGCAGTTGCGAGTGCCGGCGTTGTCTGCACCGCATTCGGAGGAGCTCCGTTCGGGGCCACGAAGCGTGTGACTGGTGTGCCATAATGTGTGCGGTGGGCGCATGCGAAAGCAGCCACTAGAGCCGTCGGTGGGACCCCGTATACGGCCACGAAACGTGTGAGGGGTGTGCCGAAATAGGCGCGGTGGGCGCATGCGACGTAACACATGGGGGCCGTCGGTGGAGCTCCCTATGGGGCCACGAAACGTGTGAGGGGTGTGCCAAAAGTGGGTGCGGTGGGCGCATGTGAACGCAGCCACTGGGGCCGTCGGTGGGGCTCCCTATGGGGCCACGGGACGTGTCAGGGATGTATCAAAAATGGGCGCGTGGGCGCATCCGAACGCAGCCACCAGGGCCGTAGGTGGAAACCGCATGGGGCCACGAAACGTGTGAGGGGTGTGCCAAAAGTGGGGCGGTGGCCGCATGCGAACGCAACCGCTGGGGCGGTCAGTGGAACTGCCAATGGGGCCGCGAAGCGTGCGAAGAGAGGGGTGGACGCATGCGAACGCAACCACTGGGGCCATCGGTGGAGCTCCCAATGGGGCCACGAAATGTATGTGGGGCGTGCCAGAAATGAACTCGGTGGGCGCATGCGAACGCAACCACTTGGGCTGTCAGTAGAACTCTCTATGAAAGCACGAAACGTGTGAGGGGAATCCCGAAATGGGTGCGGTGGGCGCGTGCGAACGCAGCCGCTGGGGCCGTCGGTGGAGCTCCCTATGGGGCCGCGAAACGTGTGAGGGGTGTGCCGAATGGGTGCGGTGAGCGCAGGCGAACGCAGCCAATCGGGCCTTCAGTGGAACTGCCTCTGAAAAACACGAAACGTGTGAGGGGTGTGCTGAAATGTGTGCGGTGGGCGCATGCGAACGCAGCCGCCAAGGCCGTAGGCGGAACCCCCATGGGGCCACGAAGCATGTTAGGAGTGTGCCGAAATGGATGCGGTGGGCGCACGCGAACGCAGCCACTGGAGCGTTCGGTGGAGCTGACTATGCGGCGACGAAACGTGTGAGGGGTGTGCCGAAATGGGTGCGAAGGGCGCATGCGAACGCAGCCAGTGGGGCCGTCGGTGGAGCTGCCAATGGGGCCACGAAACGTGTGAGGGGTGTGCCAAAAGTGGGGCGGTGGCCGCATGCGAACGCAGCCACTCGGGCCTGCGATGGAGCTTCCTATGATGGCACGAGACGTGTCAAGGGTGTGTCAAAAACGGGCGCGATGGGCGCATGCGAACGCAGCCACCAAGGCCGTAGGTGGAAACCGCATGGGGCCACGAAACGTGTGAGGGGTGTGCCAAAAGTGGGGCGGTGGCCGCATGCGAACGCAACCACTTGGGCGGTCAGTGGAACTGCCAATGGGGCCGCGAAGCGTGCGAAGAGAGGGGTGGACGCATGCGAACGCAACCACTGGGGGGCATCGGTGGAGCTCCCAATGGGGCCACGAAATGTATGTGGGGCGTGCCAGACATGAACTCGGTGGTCACATGCGAACGCAACCACTTGGGCTGTCAGTGGAACTCCCTATGAAGGCACGAAGCGTGTGGGGGGTGTGCCAAAATGGGCGCGGTGGGCGCATGCGAACGCAGCTACTGGGGCCGTCGGTAGAGCTCCCTAGGGGGCCACGTAACGTGTGAGGGGTGTGCCGAAATGGGTGCGGTAGACGCATGCGAACGCAGCCACCCGGGCCGTCGGTGGAACTGCCTCTGAAAAACACGAAACGTGTGAGGGGTGTGCCAAAATGGGTGCGGTGGGCGCATGCGAACGTAACCACTCGGGCCTTCGGTGGAGCTCCCTGTGGGGCACGAACCGTGTGAGGGGTGTGCCGAGTGCCGAAGCTGATGACGGCGATGGTGATGACGATGATGGTGATGATGACGATGCTGATTATGATGACGACGACGACGACGACGACGACGACGATGATGATGATGATGATGATGATGATGATGACGTCGATGATGATGATGATGATGATGATGATGATGATGATGATGATGATGATGATGATGATGATGATGATGATGATGATGATGCTGATGATGGTGGAGGCAGGAGGAGGAGGGGGAGGAGAAAGGAAAGAAGGAGTGGCACAAGGAGCGACGCGGGGCGCTGGCTCTTCAAATCGAGGGCCCAATACCGCAGGACTGTGGGGAAAAAACTAACGGACGAACGCGGACGGGGTCGGGACTCCAGGGCCCAAGTCGTGAAAAACATCGCCACGTCGGACGCCTGGATAGGGCGGGTGCTGGTCTGCCTCTGGTCTGCATTGTCGCTTCCCCTTAAACTGCTATTCCTTCCTACTGATTTCCCTCCCCCCCCGCCTCCTCCTCCTCCTCCTCCTGCTCCTGCTCTCTTTCCCCCGTTCTCTCCCTCTGCGACTCCTCCGCCAATTTCATCCCTTCCTCCTCCTGCTCGTCCTGCCTTTCCTAAATCTCTCCCATCAGACGTTTCCTCCTCCTCCTTCCCCGCCATGGAGTAGCAACATGGTGCAGCCATGGTGCTAGTTATCCACCTCTTCCTCCTCCTCCTCCTCCTCCTCCTGCTCGATGACGTCGCCCTCCTCATCCTCTTCCTAGTCCTTCTCAATCCCTCTCCTTTGCCTTTGCATCCATCCTCCCTCGTTTGTCTCCCTCTTCTCCCTCCTCTCCATCGCCCTCTCTCCCTCTTCCACCTCCATCTCCTCCTCCCTCCTCATCTCTCTTCCCCTCATTCGACTCATCCGCCTCCCTGTTCATGCCTCCGTTTCCTCCTCCACCCCGCCCACTTGCCTCATTCCCCGGCTGATGCTGGCAGAAGATTAGGAAGACGTGAGGAACAGTTGTCGAGGCTGGAGTAAATGGGAGAGCCGACCAGGGCAGGCCAGGGACAAAGCGTGTGCAAAACAATCGGCCATGGCTAAACACAACCACAAGAGAGCCCAGAGCAGGAACGCATCAAGAGCCGACCAGGAACGGCCTGGACAGGGCAACAGACGAGAAGAGCAGCGACAGAACTGGCGGGGGCAAAGGGGGAACGCAATCCTCCTCCCCGTTTTCCTTTTCCTCCTCCTCCTCCTCCTCCTCCTTCTCACTCCCAATCGTCCTCCTCATCATCAGCACTACCACCATCATAATCCGTTGAAGCATCATGGTGGCCATCGTCATCATCACGATCACCACCACAAACAATACATAAACCACCATCACCATCAAGGACATAAACATCACAACCACCACCACCACAACCATCATGACCATGCTGGTACGTACTGGTCATCATCAGCATATCCCTGCCACCAACATCATCACCATCATCGCATCCACCGTCATCAACAACATATTCCTCATCATCATCACCATCAACAACAACAGTTCCAGCATCTTCCTCGTAAGCATCATCAGCAGCGTCAACATCATCACCATCATCATCAGCAGCACCAGCATCAGCATCGGCATCGGCATCAGCATCATCAGCATCATCGGCATCACCATCACCATCACCATCACAATCAGCATAGTCACCATCGCCAGCAACAACAACGCCATCGTCATCACCAGAATCAGCATCAGCAACATCAACATCGCCATCTTCCTCATCGTCGTCATCATCAGCAGCAGCATCATCATCCCACTCATCATCATCGCCATCATCAGTATCGTTACCGGCGGCGTCATCACCATCATGACCATCAGCAGAATCACCAACATCATCATCACCATCAGCATCATCATCAGCATCAGTATCAGCATCCTCCTCCTCAATAACATCGTCAGCATAATCAACGTGATCAATCTCATCATCGTTATCATCATCACCATCACCACCAGCATCGCCACCGCAAGCAGCGCCATCATCATCATCATCATCATCAGCAGCAGCATAATCATTATCATCAGCGTCATCATTGTCGTCGACATCATCATCAGCATCGTCGTCGTCACCCTCATCATGATCATCATCATCAGCATCATCAGCACAACCACAATCATCACCTGTATCACCACCATCAGCATAACCAGCAGCAGCATCACCATCATCATATTCAACATCGTCATCATCATCAGCATCATCATAGTCCATATCACCGTACGTATCCAACTCAGACTCACCATATTCACACTCACCCTGGTAATCCTGATCGCCATCCTCCTCCTCCGGCTCCTCCTCCTACTCCTCCCTCCTCCTCCTCCTCCTCCTCCTCCTCCTCCTCATGATCCCCCTCCTCCGTCTCCTCCGCCTCCTCCTCCTCCTGCTCCTCCTGCTCCTCATTCCAACCCAACCGGCTTCACCATGTGCTGATCCGCCTCCCGCTTCTCCGTAACGTCCCCCCCTCCCCCTCCTCATCTTCTTCCTACTTTTCTTTTCCTTCTTTTATTCCTCCTCCTACTCTTCCTCCTGACGATGACTCTGGTGACAATGATCCATCCAAGGATGCTGCCATTCCCCCCCCCTCCCAGAAGCAGTCGCCCCACGGGGGGGAAGGAAGGATGATCGAAGTAGGATAACATGTACCCCTCCTCTCTCCTCTCCCCTTCCCTCGCTCACTTCCCACCCAGAAGCGGTCGCCCCGTGAGGGGGAGGATGGTCGAACTAGGATAACATGTACATCCCCTCTCTCCTCCCCCCCTTCCTTCCCTCCCTCCCTCCACCCGTGGATCCCACCTCCCGCCGTCCCTCCCGCCATCTCCCCCCCCCCCGCCCCCGAAGCACCTCCCCCCCCCCCGCCCCGCGGGGCGACCGCTTGCTCGCGGCAGCATCCGCGCGCGGGTGCGGGGCCGGCCGCCGCGGGAAGGCCCGACGGGGGCGGCGCTCGCCACACGGGGGCGGGGTCCTCGCCGAGCCCGCCGAGGGAAGAGGGCGGGGGGAGGGAGGGGGGCCGGGGGAAGGGAGGGGCGGGGGAGGGCGAGAGAAGGGACAGAGGGGGTGAGGAGGGGAGGGAGCAAGGCGAGCGGGGAGGGAGGGAGGGAGGGAGGAGAAAGGTGGACGGGGAGAGGAGAGGAGAGAAAAGGGGAGAGGAGAGGAGACGCGCTCGGTGCGCTCGCGCCATATCTGACATCCTGCCCCTCCCGCCCTCCGTTCCCACTGAGCCGATGTGATCTCTATCCGCGGACGCGTGTCTTAGCGCGGACCTGGAACTCACTCTAAGAAAGACCCCATCGTGTTACGCAACATAGGCAAACATAGGAGGGGGTGGCGGATGAGCAGGAGGAAAGGGAGGAGGAGGAGGAGGACGACGACGAGAAGGAGGAGGAGGAGGAGGAGGAGGAGGAGGAGGAGGGAGGGGGAAAAGGACAGGGATGAGCAGCAGCAGCAGCAGCAGCAGCAGCAGCAGCATCAGCAAGAGCAGGAACTGGAGTGAAAGGAGCGGGAAGAGCATGGGAAGGCGGAGGAAGGGAACGGATGGGGGCGACAACGACGAGAAAGGACTCGGAGCCAGAAAAGAGACCCGCACTGGGGCGATACCGCCATCCTGAACGGCGGGAGCAAAGCCGCGATCCTAAAAGGAGGCCCACGCTGAAGCGAGACAGCCGTTCTTGGAAGGATGCGTAACGCTCATGGTAGCAAAGCACACCAGAACAAAAGCACAGATCGGACCCTATCCTGCGTGCTAAATGCGGAGGGGGGGCGCGCTGCTCTCATCACGTCTCCGGGGGAGAGAGGAGAGTAGTGCTCTTCTTGAGACAGTGTGGGGTTGCAGATGGGGAAGGACGGAGGGAGGGAGGGAGCGAGGGATGGAGGAAGGGAGGAGGGGGAGAACATGTTTCTTCCTCCTCCTACGTCCTACATCTTGCCTCCTCATGCCTACCTCCTCCCTCCTGCTTCATACGTCCTCCCTCCGCCTTCTCCTCCTCCTCCTCCCCCCCCCCTCCTCCTCCTCCTCCTCCTCCTCCTCCTCCTCCTCCTCCTCCTCCTCCTCCTCCTCCTCCTCCTCCTCCTCATCGTCATCGTCATCTTCATCGTCATCGTCATCAGCATCAGCATCAGCATCAGCATCAGCATCAGCATCAGCATCATCAGCATCAGCATCAGCATCATCATCATCATCATCATCATCATCAGCATCAGCATCAGCATCATCATCATCATCATCATCATCATCATCATCATCATCATCATCGTCATCATCGTCAACATCATCATCATCATTACCAGCACCAGCGTCATCCTCGTCATCATCGGTATCATCGTCAACATCAGCATCATCACCATCATCATCACCATTGTTATCAGCATCATCCGCACCATCATCATCAGCATCAGCATCTTCGTCATCTTCGCAAGCATCATCATCATCATCACCATCCTCAGCCCCATCATCATGATCATCCTCATCCTGGTCAGCATCAACATCACCAGTAGCAGCATCAGCATCACCATCATGAACATAATTATCATCAGCAGCATCATCACCATATCCAGCATCAACATCAGCATCATCGTCAACACCAGCCGCATCAGCATCAGCAGCATCATTATCATCATTACATTCGTCTTCATCATCCACCTCCTTCTCAACATCATCAGCATCAGCATCATCCACAGTATCTTGACTTACCCATCTCCTGCTACTCATCCACCCATGGATATCATCCCTTCTCCTCATACTCCTCTTCCTCCTCATCAACCAACTCCTGGTCCTGCTTCTGCTCCTGTTCTTCCTCCTCCTCCTCTCCCTCATCCCTCATCCCTCACCCTCCCCTCTGCTCCTTCACCTCCTTCCCCCCTCGACCTCCTCCTCCTCCTCGTCTTCGTCCTCCTCCTCCTCCTCCTCCTCCTCCTCCTCCTCCTCCTAGTAACTCTGCTGCCTCCTCCTGGCCATCACTCGAGCCACGGTGGCTCGACTTGTCCCCTGCAGCGCCGCTCGGCCGTCGTCTCAGAGCTTCCTGTGGGATAGTGTGCTAGCCCTTGCCGCTTGAGGTCCTGGTGCTCCAGGCAATGCTGGGTTGAATTCGTTCGTCTCAACCTTCGTGTGCATGATTCTACTGGCGTTCCCTGTGCTTCTCATCGTGCTCATGGGGCTGAACTTCCTGGTGGGCGGGCTGCGGGGCGCGCAGGTGCTCGTTGTGGCCACGGGCACCTGCACGAAGTTCGAGGCGTTCTTCGTCGTCCTGGAGCGCGTCGGCATGGTCGGCGCTGGCGTCGTAGTGTATTTGGTGGTGTGCTTCGGCTTCTACCTCCCATGCTTGTCCTCTGCTGGCTGCAAGTCGTCTGCATCATCGTTCAGTGCATCATGGCCGACCGCGACGTGTGGCT